TGAAAGTCATTCAAATTAACGACAGAGTCAAGAAGAATAAGAAAGGCCCTGAGGCCATTTGAATAGAAGAAGATGTCACTAAAACCAATCTAAGTAGTTTCATAATGATGTTGTCGAAAGATTATTCCATATAGTGTTCTCAGACAACTTTCGTTCATTACTAATCTCTCTTTTTCTGTGTTTTACGAATTGTTTTTTATAAGAAATATCAAACCCAATAAAGCGGAAAACATTATACTCCCGGATGCTTTGGTTCACTCCCTCAAGTCTCGCAATCTCTCCCTCTCCGCATCTTCGAAATATTTTGTGTCAAAAAATCATACCGTTTTCCTATCTGCAAATGTGCTTTCGTCATAAAACATCCGGACTGATGACCTGGAAATACTATATTCTTCAAAACCAACAAACATCCACAAAAGGTAAAATTTCACCGAAATTTCTTTCGTAATCTTCAGCCAAACCTTTTACGAGCAGAACGTGAAAATCCACGATCTGAGTAACGATCAGATGAAGTAATAGATCCATCATCATCGTGTATAGATAGATAATCCATCTGAAAATACGAAGATGAGAATGTTGTGAATATGATTTTTAAACAAATTCTTTCCAAATATTAATTATAAAAATGACGAAATGAATTAATTCTTTGTACTTGTTTGCTTATAATCTGAATAAGAAAACCGAAACCCTTAAAGTTGCCAAAAAAAGCTGCGGTAAGTCATTTGTCCATAAAGAATGAGAAGGATTAAAAGGAAAGGCAGAAGCACAAAGATGATAAATGCTTAGGAAGCTTCCGTGGGGTTATCATCAGAGAGGCAAAAAAAGATATTTGGAAGTCAAATGTAGTGCTTTCAAGATGGAAAATGTTGAAAAAGCAGCAAGATATTCGCAGAAAACCGAAGAATAATATGGCTTTAAAGGTCATTTTACATATTTATATGCGTTAATAAATGAACTCATAATATTTCAGCTTTGAACGTCGGAATGATAGATCAAGAAAGTTAGGTAAATGAAGAAATGCTGAAACATACAAAGGCACCTGCAGTGGAAAGGAAATGAAATGGGAATATTCGCTTTCAAGGTTCAAGTCAAGTGTATATTTAAGGTGAAACATTTAAAAACATAATTTAATATTATTTGTCGACTTACGGCCAACTTCTGCAACTCATGGAAAGCTTTTCACACATTTTTCTTTTTTTTTTTCCAGAAAAAAAAAATTTTTCTCGTTTCTATAGATTCTGTGTTAAGATGAAGCAGAGAGGAGGAAAAGTAATTTGGAAATTAGATAATATTCCAAATGTCCCCTGTCTTATTAGCGAATGAACAAACATCTCCAGTAATATCTTTAAATAAAACATTTGTTATTAAAACATAACATCTTCTCCGCACATTGAAAAAAAATTTCAACATGGATTTGTTAGGTTTTGCAGAAAAATAAAGTAAAAAGAAACGCAACCGATCTGAGCGACTGAAACATGTCGAATGAGAAAACGTGAAAATAACGTTCACGTAACTCTCACGTAAACATATCAACTGCTATTTTTTAAAATTTCCGTTTGGGAATCAGAAAGATTGACGAATTAATCTTCATATAACTGAATGGTGGATTAAAAAACGGCAAAGAAGGAAGTATTGAACATCTCCCATGCCGTTGGAAGAGTTCAGGAAAAAGCAATATGTGCAATGTCAAATGGTTTCCGCAATATCATCATTTGCGGGCAATCACCAAAAGTTGCGAAAAAATGAGAAAACTTTTCGAAAACCGACAACAAATGAAATAGGAAAAGTTCCGAAGTAGAATCTGAACATATAGGGCTCAGTAAGTAAGGGTTAGCATGAGGTGTAGGTCGGAAAAACTTCAATATTGTAAGTTTGTATAAGAAACTATAATGAGTATAGGTTAAAAGCACAGAACGAGACAAGAAATAGAGAGAGAGAGAAAAAGAGAGAAAGAGAGAGAAAGAGAAAGAGAGACTGAGAGAAGTAGTCGTTGAATAAGAACAAGGCGGACGAACTGAAAGAAAAAAGCCAATTAAGCTACACATTGTCGTCACTGTCTATTCAGAATTCCAGAATCTCAACTTAGAAAACTTTATATGGCAACTCGTTAAACTACTATGACTCCAAAAACTGATATAAATTGTTGACAAGGCTTGTAAACTTTTTTTAGAGACAAGAAAGAAATTGGGAGGAGTGGAGTGAACGAGGAAGAGCCCAAGAAGCATTTCATATTTCTCGAGCATAATTTTTTTCGATATTTTCTCGAGTAGAAATCAAACATGCAAAAGAAAACGTTTTTTATTGCATTTAATTTAAATAGAAAATTAAAGAACGTCGGGTCTCATTAAAACGTTTTGGAAAGTCTATTGAATTTCTGAAAATCGTCTTAGCGACTCTTGGTGTACTTTTTCTTAATTTATTGAGAAAGCGTCTGGAATACTTGAAACTTACGTATTGAAGGCTCGTCCCGGACATCTTCTTGTCCGAAATGAACGATGTGGAAGACACCGGTGGATTAGATGCGGGACGCGAACACGGTTGAGCCGGTGAAGTCGCTAAGCCGGCTTCTGATGAAGTTGAAACGACGGAAGCCACCGGTCGTCCGGCAGACGTGACGGAAATGAGCACGTCAGCCAGGATGAAAGGAGATGAACCAGCAGCAACTAGAGAAATTGGTTTCTTAATTTGGAGGCAGAGAAAAATACGAAATGAAATAGTTGAAAAAGAATTTGTATAGTGGAAGTAATATTGATGTATCTTCATTTGATTTCACTCTTGACTTGTAGCAGAAAAAATACTTTAGGAATTGAGAGAAAACATTAGATTAATGCGATGAGCAAGATTACTAAGGAGCTGCACATGCCGACAACAAAGAATATGATATAGAATCAGAAGATGGTTCTGGTCCAAGGACCACATACGTAGTAAAGTTGCTAATCACATGTTTCATTAAATCAAGCGGAAGTAGCAAAGAGAAAAATTAAATGAAAAGTTGGCATTAATCATCGTTAAACTCCTTGCTGAGTTTGTTGTAGAGACTTATAAAGTATGGAAAAGTAAAGTATTCATCGGTAGATGATAACTCACTCAAATAGTGGGAGGACCTTTCATCCTCATAAATATCACAGACAATTGGATGTAGACAATTCAAATGGCATGGAATATCAATTTGCAAGAGAAAGCCGTGACGGTTCTTCAATAGAATATGAAGAAGATGAGCATGGAAGGAACATCCTATGTCGAAAATTAAAGAAAATGATTTCTGATTTAAGAAATTTCAAATGGAAATGCAATTTATTCATCTGAAGGCTATGAGGTAATTACACTTTGGCCTGCATCTAATGAAAAAGCTAAAATGATGTTTGTTCGAGTTTGATTTCAAACATTCAGTGCGAATGTCGACGTCACACGTAAAAGAACGCTAGAAATCTGAATTTATAAGAAAAACTTATTTTTGCTTTTCCATAAAACTTTTAATCATCCAAGGATCAAGTGTTTGTTATGTTTTGTTTTGATTTAAAACTTCTGGGTTTTTGAATAGTTCAGCTTCAAATGAGCAACGTAAAAAATGAAATGTGTGTAAGAGAGAGAGAGAAAGCAAGAAAGAGAGAGAGAGAGAAAGAAGGAGGGCCCTAATTAATGCAAAATTAACCTATACAATTCATAAGGGCGTTAGACTATACACTCATGTTGAAATGAGAGATGCTACAAAGATGAAAACTCAGAATTTATCTGAGTTTCCAGCTTATTCTGTAATCAGATTCCTGTCCATACACGAGCCATAACCAAATAGAATAAATTAGTAAGAATGCAATTGGATGTTGAATAAGTGCCTCTCCATATAAGGTACATGAACATGCTGACGAAGCTAAAAGCGGAAAAGAGGAAAGCAGCACAATGAATATGTGTTCTATTAAAGAGGATGGTACAAGCATGTTTCAAAACATTTTGCAAAAGCAAAGTATTCTTGATATGTAGCAGGCTGTTTTGAGTGTAATTATGATAAAAAATAATAATAATCCACTCAAGTTATTTATGATGAAATGTTAAAAAGGAATGCAAACTTACAGTGGACCAACGTCGTTTAGAGTTTGCCATCTCAGGGTGTCCAAGCAGAAAAAAATGATTTTAAGGCCTCTCAATCTTTTCACAGATTCATCTATCTGATCCAAAATCTTATCAGCTAACAGTTGTGTTTCTTCTCTGTTCAATTTCTGTTAGTTGGATTAAACACGAATTCAATTGAGAAAAGAACGTAAGTGATGGACTTCAAATAGCCGATCATTCTATTTGTCATTTGATTTTAATGTATTTATTATTTGAAGTTGTTTTTCTCAAAAATTCAAGTAATTTCAAGTTCCTACAAGTTCCTACAATTTGCAGAAGAATGGAAGAAGAATTAATGAGCTCTTTTGATTCATTTGTGAAATATGAACAAGATGTGAAAGATTAATTTCTTGTCAAATGAAAATTCAAACTGATAAATCAGTTTGTTACATCTGTCCCATTGAGAACTTAATCAAACCTTCGTGTGAATGACCGTGAATTTTAACGAAAAAAGTTGTTTGTTAAGAGTTTTGAAAATTATTAAACAAAGTGATGCTCAATCATAATGGTTAAAGGTTTTTTTATTTTTTTTTTCTGAATCTCTTGACGTCTCTGATCACGTGGATTCATTGTCATATAGTTTAAAATAAAACTGTTTATTACATTCCATACCCGTTAAGGATTCACAAGCATACGTATGTTTTGAAGGAAGAGAGTCAAAGTATATCAATTTGGAATATATGAACATCAAGCAATATAATATCATGAATCATATAATTACGGAATGATCAAAGAAGTATAAAGGATGAACTCAATTTGAGCCAACAAATATGACAAAAGCAGATGAAGTATGAGAGTCTCAATGGATATAGTGAACCAGTCACGATTCAATGAGGGTGGCTTTAAGACATTATCAAATGGATATGATTGATAGATAAAAAATAATAATAATATTACATAACTTGGAGTAATATGTGATTTCGACTACTATGCTCATCCACAGATGTCGCATGTGCACTACTACTCTTACTCTGCTTAATATTCATTTTTAATGGACGATCTATGATTGTAACTGAATGGAGAAACCTTTTAATTGTTTGACGCATAAGTGTTCGATATCTCTTTGATACAACACAATATAAGCAGAAATTCAATGATGCATTCAGGAATACAAGCTGGAAAAAAATAAAATCCGTTTCTTTCTTTTCAATATAATATTCAAATAAACAAACCTGTTGGGAAATACAAGTATATACAATAGCTTTTGAATGATATTGTCCATAGTAATCAAACATTAAACGAGCTGGAGCCTTAAATAAACATTTGTTTCCATTTTTTGAATATAACTCATACCTGCGGTCCGACACAAATGAGAAGCATGAAGACCACAGCGAATAGCATGGCATTGGCATTCAATCGATTCGTATATGATTCCTGAAAGATGAAATTATATATTTCTGATAATGTATTTCTGATGAACGATAGAACAACCGCAGGCACCCGGAGCGTCATATACAATACTTAAACCCTGGCACAGAAGCTGGCAGTCTACGTGGCATACTCCACGTGAAGTATTCACGTAAGCTAATTTTGACGCACCTGCACAAGAGCTCCGTCAGCAAGACGAGCTGTTTCCTCTTCTCTTTTCGTATCTTCATCAACAACTCTTCTCAGTGTCAAGATGATGCGACAGTTCATTATCAATAATGCCAAGATTGGTAGAACGTTGAACGCGGCCAATGAAACATAGTCCATAATCCGATAGTAAAACTAAAAATCAGGTATTACAAATTATTGGAAAAACGATTGAGCCTACCCTTAATGTTGGATTTTCTGTCATGAGAATAACATAATAATAATCTTCAGAAGAGTTTTCATAACAATGACGGACTTCATAGCAGATTGGCCATTGTATAGAACAAAGAAAAGCAATCAAAAAACTGAAATTAGTTCAAACTGTATATGAAGAGAGAGAAAAAAAGATTTTACCATCCATAAATGGATAATTTCGATGTTCTTCCTGTGCAGAGTTTATGAGAACGTAGAGGAAAAACAACGCAAATGTATCTTTCAACGTTGAATGCAACAACAATTCTGCGAAAAGACCGATGAGTTAAGTTTGCTATTGTTTGAAACATACAAAACACTGCTTTTGTAGAAAGTCGAAGCCAATGTTCGGATGTATAGGACCATATGTGAATAGAAGTGATTGAATGTTGGCGAAAAAGCGAGTGAAGCAATTGAATGAGGAGTAACATCTAATGTGGCAAAAATTAAAAACAAACAATCACAGATGGCTAAGGCTAATAGTAGAGTCCTATAAATGGTAATGTTATATTTTGTTTTTTACATTCGCAGCCATACCAACTTGGCATTCGTCGAGCTCCTCGATTACTAGTTAAAATGGCTATATTAAGAACGTTACAAGCAACACCAATAATGGCTATAATAGGTAGAACTATAACATTGCTCCACCATACTATTTCGATTGCACTCTGAAATTGGAACGAAAAAGTCGTTTTTCAATTGCTTTTTTCTGTACCTGATCATGTATTTGGTCGGTGATGGTCGAGAAATTACATGTGGACGGAGTAGATAGTATAAACTCTTCTCCTAAAGATGGCGATTCTACAGAGGAAATTGCGTTGTCCATCTGGAAAAAACAAAAGGCTACTAAGTGCGAAGGAAAAGAAAAATCCCGCGAAAGAAGAAAAAAAAATAAAGAAGGAATTTATTTGAAAATATGAAAATAAAATTGTGATCAAGCTACCCTGCATTGCGAAGAAGAAAAAAAATAAGTTTCGGGATTGAAAGCTTTCAGGCCATTTCTTTGACCTGTTGATCGAAAGTGACAACAAAGAGTTTTAAAACGATAGATTTATCTTATTTTTTGTGAAAATATAAATCATAAGAAACATCGAACAGCATGATATGAGAGAAAATATTGAGGATAATTGATAAAAATGTTTTTGAAAAACGATGAGAACATGCATTTCAAGAGTTCACAATGACAGTTTAAATCACAAGTTTCATTCGAAGTTCAGAAGGCTTGTGATGGTAAAAAAGTGAAATTGAAAAGAAAAATAAACTTGAAACTACAGAAGTGACGAATATTGGCAACAAAAAAGTTATAAAAGACTTGGTTGATTTCGTTTTGTTAAGTAAGTAGTCGCAAAAAGAATTTGTGTGTGAGGAGTCTTAAATTACAAGATCACTTTATTATTGTATCTTTTCTCCAGCTTCATTCCATCAGAACCTATTTTTTAACACCTTTCGTTAAAAAGAAAGAAAAATGGAGGAAGAAATGTATGGAGTATGAAAGATAGAGAGACAGATAGATAGAGAGAGAGAGTGAGAGAAGGCGAACGAGGGAGAGATTCGGAAAGATGGTTGCGAGAGTATAATATAAAGAAAAAAGTTTGAAAAGAAGACGAAAGAAGTAAAGAGAACAAGATGAACAAGCAGGAAAGGCTAACGGATCTTTCATTCCAAGTAAATAATACCGTCATCACGAGCATCAAATAGCGAACAACTATGAAGGGAAGACGTGTATATGAAGAAAAAGGGAATGAGGACAACTGTGACCGAGAACGTTCGGAATGAATCTTGCAGAGTATTGCTCACTATTCTTTTGATAAAACTTGAACAGTTAATAAAAAGAAAGTAAGTGCGTTAGGAAATGACATATGAGGGGAAGGCTTTGTGCAAGACATAGTGATACAGTGAGTGAGTAGAGTGAGACATTTTATGGAGACAAACCTACAGAAGCGTACCGAACAATGAATTCAATGGTCACGTAGATTGAAAGAGAAAAGGACTGGTCAAGAAAAAATGGTATTGCCGTATAAAGAAAGTTCAATGAAAGGGCAACGAGTTCGGTATTGAAAAGGAAAATGTTTGATGACAACTTTGTCAATACAAGTGCCTTAGGGCGATTTGCTATAGCGAATTGAATGAATCACGAAAAAATAAAATAGGTGAGAGGAGAACAAAATATCAACAAAAAAGCTATTTCGAGATGTTAGAAGAGAGAGACAAGCTGCTGAGAAGTAGGTAAGCGGAGGTTCCGAAGTACTTCTACTAAGCAAAAACCAAATACGGTTGAAAGTTCTGTGAACAAAAAGAAAAGGGGAGAAAGAAAAAAAAGGAGAGACTGTGATATGAATTGTAAATGATGATATACATCATTCCTCGTCATTCTGAAGAATAGAAGAAAAATTATGCAAAAAAAAGGGGCCCTAAAAGACGAATACCGGTTTCGGATTGTGAATTACGTTTCCTCTCTCATTCGAATAATTTCTTTCAATATCTGATTTGCAGAACCTTAAAAGAGTTTTCTTTTGGCCTTTTTTCTTTCCTTTCCACTTTTTTTTCTCAAAAAGATAAATTCTATTAATAGCTTACTCTAAAGACAACTATGAGAGGAAGCAGATTTTGACGTGAAGCAGCAGCGTTTACATAACAAATGCGCAACGAATTCAATATAATATAAAAAGATTCTGGTTATTTTTATCATTCTTCAATTGTTTTTTCTCTTCGATTGATCATTAACCTTCTCTCTTTAGTTCAAATGCCAATAAATGATTAAACAAATAAATATCTTTTTTTTCTTAAGAAAAGTTATTAAAAGGAACTTAGTATACTGGTGTGAGACTTCAGTTCAAAAACAAAATTTTATTTCTCTCAAAGTTTTTTAGTGAAGAATTCGACTAATCAAGTTCTATTCTGAGAGAATAGTAAGAAGAAAATAAAAATATAAAAGATTATGTTAATTCTGACAAAAATGCTGAACAAACATCCGATGAAGTGAGAAATCCTTCGATTTAATACAATAAGAGTTATTGTGAATCATTCTCTCCTTTCTTATAATCTCTTCTGTTATCCAAATTCTTCATCACTCACACAAAGTTTTCTTCTTTTTTTTCATTTTTACAAAAAGCTTCAAGAAATAACATGCAATTGACGGTTTAATTTAACAACAACACGTCTGAATTTAGCCGAATGTTAAAAAATCAGACGAGCGTTGTGTTAAAAACGTTTTGTTTGTTTGTTTTTACAAACAAAATGATTTATGCAAATTGATTGTTGAATTTACAATAGAAAAATTTGTTTTAATAATTAATAGTTTAGAAAATGAAAGTTTGTAAGTGATGAACATAAGCAAACAACCGCACTGTACTTCACTGCAATTAGAAAATGAAATATTTTTGAAACTGATCACGGCTTCTTACGTGAATTAGTCACGTGGAATTTTCACATATAAAAAGTAAAATATGGAATTGTATCAATAACTTTGAAAGCAACACAAGTAAGAAAAGTTGGTATGAGAAGCTGATGCTACAGACATGGTTAGGGCGTGAACTGTGAGTATGAGTCAGACATATCAGAGTAGTTCTAGGAAGATGCAGAATATATTCTATATATTTAATGATCAATTCAATTGTTTTTTCCAAAAATTTTCTTTAAATTACTGTTTTGAGTGCTTAAACAGAATCTATTGCCGGAAGCAAAAGATGAGTAAATCTAGCAAATCGGCTAAGCAAATAGCTGCTGTATCATAGTCGGCAATGGATATATCATGAATATCAGTTTGTTGAGTTACTTTTATGAATGAAACAAAAGTGTTTAGAACAACTTGAAGACAAACACGGATTATATAAATGGTTTTGGACAAAAATAGTATAATATAGAGGGATATATACATATATACTATATATATAGTAATGAAAATATCTCATTTAAGCTTTATTTCTCTCGTTACGTTGAATTCTATGTCGTTCTCACAACGGAAATGAGAAAAGTATTAAAGTGCTCTTTGGGGCAATTTATAAACCCGCAAGTGACCAGGCAGGTGGGTCAGAAATTGTTTTTTCTTCTGGATAGTTTGAATTATTTCAGAAGTTCTGACACACTTAATGTGAGTTGTCAACGGGAAATCAAGTAGCAAACTGCATAAAACAAAGCTGGGGATACATTACGAAAACAGAGGCAAATTGGAAAAATACATTAAAAGTAATGAATATAGTTCATAACAATCTCTTTCTTTTCCCTCTTTCCTTTATTTTCATCTCTTTTCTCTCACTATTTTCAAGCAGAGCATGAATGAGAAAAAGACGATTGCTGTATAAGGAAGGATGAAGCTGAGAATCTAGTAAAAGCAAAAAGCAAATAGCCATTTTTAGTTGACAACAAGTATAGAATGAACGAAAGCAAAGAAGAAGTTTATAAGAATTGAACAGTACAAATACTATTTAAAGTTTGTAAATGGTCAGTCTGATTTAATCTGCTCTAGTGATCAATATGCTCTTAGCTTAAAGTAGAAGACAGAAAATTTCTAACAATAAGGAAAGTTGATGACAGAGAATGAAACAGCAGAGAGAGAGAGAGAAAGAATGACTCTAAAGAGATAGACAAACTAGTGAAGAGGGCTTAAGAGAGTTAGAGATATTTGAAGAGAATATGAAGCCATTCAGACGACAAAGAGAACGAACGAGAGGATAGAAATGGACACGATCAGCTCCACGACTGTACAAACAAAATCACTAGTCAGGGCATACATACCTCAGCCAAGTCTCCCCAATTTTTTTTTATTTTTCTCTCATATTCTCTCTAAAGTTCCTCTTATAAGTATGGTCTTCTTTTGAATCTGCGACTTCTCTCAAATATTTTCTAATGAAATAGAAATTGTTAGAAGCATGCGGAAATCCTGGTCATGAACCGGTGGAACAAACGTTGACAATGAACTTCGTTTTTGTTTTGATCATCTGAATTTTCCAAACATTCATTATGAATGTTGGCTGGTACGGTTTTCCTTCAAATCGAGCCCTACTCCTGAGCTTGTTCATTTTCCTTTTTACACACAACAGACAAACGAGTACATAGAAATCATTCGCAATTTTCACTCTAGAAAAACTGTAAATGACCATCACTAGGTGAATATTTTTGTCATTCCTATACTTCTCACCTATTCAGGGAAGTTTTGAAAAGAAAGAGATAAGAGGAGGAGGTGGAATGCTATTTCGAGAAAAGGTCAATATACGATTCATGGTTATTTACATGAGTTTCGAAACTTTTACTTCAAATTACTTCAGTTGAACTGGAAATTTCTACAGGCACTTCTCCTTTTTTCTGTTACATGAAGTTTTCTCTTGTTGAAGTGAAAGAAACTTGTACAAAGTTTAGGAGAAACAAGAAAAACACACAAATTCTGTTTTGTACAATGATGATAGTTCTGTTGACGAAAGCACCTTCCGTTAGTAGTAAGCAGATGCCAATAGAATCGTGGGTATAACTGTGGTTTTCGGATAACCGCAGGAGTATCAAGTAGCCCAAGAGGGAATGACAAATCACTCATTGGTGCTGAGTAACGATAGTCTTCAGAAAGGAAAAGAAACGAATGCCCAACTGCAGCGACTAGAAAACATAATGAAGAAGAAGGAGAGGCGAAAGATGATGAAGACATAACAACAACAAACTCTTGGTCTGAGACAGTTACTGCTTTAGCTCTAAAAACTAAGATATGGGGGAAGTTCAACTTTGAAAGATAGCCAACTAGAAACTCATGATTATAAAATTGTATTTTACTCCACATTTAGAGTGAAATAAAGAAGAACAGTGGATAAGCAAAAACGAGTAAAAAAACACTTGACGAGGCATAAACCGATGAAATCCGTACATACATCTCATCCGTTTTCTCATAATTGCAATCGTTTTTCACGTCTTTTCTGCTCATTTCTATCTTTTGGCTAGCTTCTAGATAGGCGATTCGTGAAAATAAACAACCAAAAATGGGAATATGGACAGGTGCAGCATCAAAACGATGGAAAGGAATTCTAGGAAGAAAAGTTGCCACAGCTGTTGGGAAGCAAAAAGTTGCTATAGAAAGTTCCTGTTCTCATAAAAATGTAGCAGATAGTACATGATCATATTGAGATCTGACGTGACAACACAGTAATAAAGAGAGATCACGAATCCGTGGAGTGGAAAGGAAGGTTTACTGATTCCGTGCCGGCTATACTGGTCCTTCAGGATATGGAGAATGGACCCAGATTGCATACAATGCTGTCTCGTCTGTTGGTTTTGAGCAAACACTAAGACCCATTCCGAAAATACTCGTGGTCGTCATTGTAAAATTTGAGAAGAAAAAGGATGTCGTCGTTAGATTGCAAACCAGTCAAAACACAGTTTCCGTTCATGTTAACCGTACCTCCCAAGTATCCCTCGTGTTAGAAAGTAACTGATAGTTTTCCGAAAAACAACTTTAATAAGTTATAAACAATGAGAAAAAAATCCTAGCATCTCCCGAACATCTTGCGGTACATCATTAACCATAACAATAGCACGTTTCGTCCTTGAATTTTAGTGTTGTAAATGTCATAATCCGTCTGAAAAATATTCTTTTGTATTCGAACATTTCTCTTCTTCTACTTTTTTGATCATCTTCAGTATGTAGTCCGCCGAAGCAGTAGTAGCTATGAAAGCTGGACGAATGGAACGGGGAAAGGAAGATACCCGTTCACGACCAGAAGCCAAATGTTTTTCACTGATCTGAAAGAAAAGAAAATAAAACTGAGGAAATCTTAGAAAATAGCACAGACCCGAACCATATCTTTCACAACATGTTTGCAATCATCTAAATGTGTTTTCCTATAAACCCTGTCGGGAGTAAGATTATTGAGAGATAATAAATCTGAGGGTAGCAACACAACACCTCTTGTTAACAACGGCAGAGTTGACCTTCAACAACGGTAGATTAGAAAAAAAGCTTTTAAACTCAAACCTAATCAGATTCAAGATAGCATAAGCTCCACCAATATCTGAAGCTGCTCGAGATATTTGATCCATATTAACATTCTCATTGTGATATCTTATTAGAGATTCTGCGGTTAACTGCATCAGTGACCCTGCAGTACGAGCTCCGTAACCACATAACTAAAGCAGAGGTTCATTATGATCCTCGGTGAATCGAAAACCTCAAACACAGTTGCAAATGGTTTATCTCCTAGTGTCTGTTGTCGTGCAGTTACAAGAGTTTCTATTAAAGTAGGGTTGGCATCAGGAGAGAACGCGCATAAGCTAATGGCTACTGGTTGCCTTAATCATACATCAGCCGAAAATTTATAAACTGCGACTACCTCGGAATAGGAACATTGGCTTCACCATATATGGCAGATAAAGAATCTTTCCAGAACTGAAGCCGATACATTCCTAAACATTAACGTGATGTTTAAGAAAAAGTGAGTCTCAACCTGAGGTGTCGTTATTCCCACGTGCATTTACTTTATCTCGGATGAGCGCTAACTCGACATTCAGAGAATATAACTGAACAGAAAAAAAAATAAAAGTTGAATATATTCTCAAACCGCGATTAGCTCAGGTTGGACCTTCTTGGGCATAATAAGAATAGATAAATAGTTGTCAACATCATTTCGACGAATGAGCTAAAA